CTGCAACTAGTGGGGAAATTAAATTATTTTTGCAAGGTTTATTTAGCATTCTGATCAGCAACTTTTAAAATCAGTTTGAAAACAACTTTGGTGAAATATTATTAATTTCAACTAGCATTGTCCTGTGAGGGTTATATTTATTTATTATATTCATATCCTCCCATTTTTCGCTATAAGATAGGATGGGCTAAGAGTTTGTGACTGGTTTATGACTCAGCTCCGTGGTTCCGTGGGGACTAGTACCCAGATTTCTAAGTTCTAGTACTGTACTCTTCAACTACCTATCAAGCTGACTTCTAGAAAGTGTAATGTTGTGGGATTGTGATTTATTGTGATGTTCGGAGTCCAGAGTCTGACAAGTTTAGAGAAATCAGGATTTGTTCTGCCTTAGGGGAGGTGGTTAAAAATATGACAGACCTCATCAATGGCATCAAAGATGTCCCTGTTGGAATTAAGTAGCTTTTCAAGACTTGGGCAGGTGTAGGCCATGGTAATTAGTTTGCAACTATGGTTACTCAGGAGGCTAATTAGGGACTGAAAATTATGATTTTGTCTTGTTGCTGGCAAGGTCTTTTGAGCTATTGTCCTCTAGACTCCATCATGTTAAATAAAACAGCAAACAAATGTGACTGCATAATATTCCAATAAGCTATTACTAGACTTTCCTAGTTCTAACTCAATGTAATTATGTTTACTTTTAGAGAATTTCAAATTTGAAGGTAATTAAAGAATTTTGGGGTGGGACTGCTTATAATGTAGTTCCAACAGTTTGCAAATGTATACATCAACAGGGCAAAGAAGGCAAAGCTCAAGTTAAAAATAATAGAAATAATACCACAGATGCAATTATATATAATAGGTTAGATCCAAACTTAGAACATACTTAGAATAGAAACACTGAAATCAAAAGTTTGGCTCCTTTGGAGCATTACTGTCAGGGAACAGAATGAGATGATCTTCCCCCTCTCATCCTGCGGTCCCCTAAGTCCCCTCCTTCTTGAACAGTGGCTTTGGTGCCATGTTGTGGTACTGAATGTTGCAGAAGGATGAAGAATTGCCAATGCTGTCTTTCTTCCACCAGCAGGAACACAAATCCTGCCAGTGCAAAAGCAGCTGCATCCAGTGTATAGTCACTGTTGCCAGTGGGTCTATTCTAAGTCTGTATCCAGTGCATTACTGAGACAGTGATGAACTGTTGCTGAAAAACCAGGTGTCCTGCGATAGTGATATGTGAGCAATCTGTTTTGGGCATGCAAATCCATTGGATTCTCTGGGTGCAACTCCCTGGACTCTGGCCTGCTTTCTCACAACTGCTAGTCTGCCCTCCTAGTGAGTATGTTGAGCATTTGCATGGGAGCCTGCCAGGAATTGGGCCTATGCAAACAATACACAAGCAGTGTTCTTCTATGGACCTGACTATGCACCTTTGCTTGTGCTGTGCATAATACAGAAGAAGGTTTATGGTTGTGCAACCAAAGTTCTGTGAGCATTTCTGGACTTCTTGGCTTGCTTTGCAAGATGGGGTCAAGCATGAAAAGAGTCTGTGAACTGAAGAGGGATGCATTCCAGGGAGCTCCATTGCAACACTGTCCAATGGTATACTGGTGGCCCTGGTCTTGATTTTTTCTTCTTTTCCTCTTTGGAAAGTACTGTGCCTGCACATCATCAGTGATTATGTGGTAGTTCAGTGAAGGCCAGAATTCCTTAGCTTTCTGCCAGCATAACTTGTGCCAACATAGGACAGCCTTAACGCCGGTCTTTAACTGGTGTGTTTCATGTGCAGTGAATAAATTGTGAGTGTCTGCACCAATTTGGACAGTCAGCATTCATTAGAGTAGGCACCCAACCAACCTACCGATAGTAGCCACCAGTAACACATACTACTGAGAAGTGAATTACTTTATCACAAAGATGGGTACTTCTGGCTCATAAGTCAAATTTATTGTAGCTGGTTCACACAGCCTCTGCCGACACCTTTCCTTGAAGCACTACTGCTCAGAAAGAAGAATGGACCACAAGACAGTTCAACTTCATTTCTCCATCCCTTTATCAATGTAAGGGATGGGATAAAGAAATGGGAATCAATTTCTACTTTGCTCCACCCCTAAGTGGAGAACCTCAAGGATGAGTGAAGTTGGTGCCTTTGTGGGATTTGCTCCTTCAGAGTTGGGAAAAGGTCACAAAGAGTGAAGATGGCTCCCATGCCTGGTGTGAGCATTCTTACCATGTGAAACTTGTACACAACCTTGTAACACAAACTACCCTACATCCCTGCTGCTGCCACCAGTACCAACCCAGAAAGCCCACCACCTCCTCAGGCAGGAACTAGTCTCATTCAGCTGGTGAGAGGTGTCAGAAATCCAGTCGCCACTTTAAAAAGTTTCCACACTCCTGCTTAGTCAGGTTACTCTAACGCAAACAGTTTTTGATTGAACAGTGGTTGAACTAGATGATCTTGGCAGTCTGTTCCAGTTCTGTGATTCAAATTGGGAAAATATTACATGCCCTGGATACTCAAGTGGTTCAGGAAAACCACTTGCTACCTGTGTATGGCAGGTATGTGTGAAGTGTGACACCTATCACTCTATCTGGAACCTTAGTCTAGAAGGTTTCTCTGAGGGCCACTACTGGAAGAGTTCTTTCAATTTCAGTGGATGATGGGTGTGATTGGGAAGACAGATGAATCAGAGGTCTCCTGGACTATTCTGTCCTGAGCCTGGGGTAAATTCTGCCTTCTTTCACCCTGCACAATTCCCAAGTAGACGACAAGAAGACAAGAGTATCAAAATGTTGTAGAACTCTTGGAAAAAATCTACAATGCTAAATAAATCATACACAGAGGCTTAAAGAACACAAAACACTTTCAGCTATTTGTGTTACAACATATAAAACATTAAAGTTTGAGAAATTAAATTTATAACTGTGTTAAAATTTGGGGAAAAGGACTGACAGTTTGGTTTAAGAACACCCCTTCTTAAGGGATACTACAAAGTTTGCTGTACCTTTTATCCATGCAAGTTCTTCTCAAAGTTTCTGCTTTATGGAAAACATTGGTGGCAAACCTAATTGGGATTAAAGTGGTATTTGGCAGATAATATAGGAAATGATCTATTTCCTCCAGTGTGCAAAAATATGCCAATAGTCACATGCAGGAAACAGTAAAAATATTTGTATTTGGACACACAAAATGAACAATTGTATCTTTAACATTTTACATTAGTAAAGAAGAATTATTGTACATTTACCATGAAATATTATGCATGGATGCTCAGGAGTCCCACCAAGTTCAATAGGGTTTGCTCCCAGGTATATATGGGTAGTGTTGCACATTCCTCTTAAAAATTTATAGTTGACTAGAAATATAATGCTCCCTCACTCTCTCTTTTCCTCTCTTTCTCTGTGTGCTTGAGATTCCAACTACCAGTGCCTTGGGTAATATTTTATAGTTAAAACTGGTGTGACAGCTCTAAGGAAGAAGATGGCAAATACCGTCAATTTCCTTTTTAGCTAACTTCTCTTTGTATTGTGTTTTGCTGCTTGAAAGCCCGTAAAATGTCACTCATGTTCTAATGATGACCTTGAACACTGGGATACACAGACAAGTTTCAATATAGTTTTGAGTATTGTAGTATTTTCTTTGAAACATTCAGCATAGACTGGGTGCCCTTTGTGATCTATCATCCCCAACCATCTTTCCTGGAGGGAAAAAAACATGGGCGGCTGCAAGAGAATAAAAGAAATAAAAGTAATCCTAAATAGAATGGATGAAAGTGAGGGTTCCTAAGCTTTAGAGATAAAGGAAGGTCACTAGTACCCATTTCGGGTCTGGCACCAAGAGCTGAAAAGGAAAAAGACAGTTTACACAAAGCAAGAAAAAAAAAAAAGATTAGTTGGAGGCTAGCAGTATACTCATCTGGTGGAATGAAAGCATTTGGATTAAAGTCCATGCTGCTCCTTTCAACCAAACTGAGTGAAACATAGCATTCCAGTTTTGTTGAGTAGTTGATTGCTCTGCATAATAGTAGTACTAAGACAAATAAGTGTGCTTGCTTCTTTTTCTTTTGAAGTAGTACAGCTATTTCTAGCCTCTCAACAAGTCTATCACACCCAGGACACATTTTTGAATCAGTAATAATGGTCAGATTATATTTAGTTGAGGAAACAGGGTTTTTTGAAGGGGAGTGGCCTTTTGCTCCCTAGCACAATGGCAGCACTTATGTTTTCCCTTGATTCTCCGTTTTGTCGAAGGAATTAGGATTACTGTGTAATTTGTTTTAATTCCATTGCCTGAAAAGTCAATTAACTGGGGTCATGATATTTTTCCCCAAAGATTTTTTCAGGAAGTCGAAATTGAATTGCTCAAAATATTTGCGCAACTTTGAAGAACTGTGTATCTCTAGCACAATTTAATTTGGCCAACCTGAAATTTCTGAAAGTGAGTTTCATTTCATTCTGTGTAGATATTCCAAGGCTTTTTTCTTTTTAATTGCAAAGTACAGTCTATTTTAAAAACTGGAAGTCTGCAAGCGGGCTCAACTGACATGAGTCAGTGCCAGTGCAAAATTGACATAATGTACTCTGGAGAAAACCCAATTAATGTTCACCCCACTATCAAATTCCTGACATGTTCCTAGATATGTGTAATTAATAATACATTTGTAATGCCTAGATTCCACTACTACCCTTAGCATTACATTCACTCTCTGATAGCATAACGTTTTGCTTCCACACGGTGGCTAGGGTAAGGATAGTCTTGCAATAGAGGGAATAACTTATGCAAATAATAGTTGTTCTCATGTTGGCGGTTTTAAAAAAAGCAACATGTAATTTCATCTGTGGCTAGACAGAATGAGCGCACAGCTTTCAATTAATTAAGCAAACAGAAATTTAAAATGTAAAAATTTTAAAACAAAGTTTATGAAATGGCAAGATAATACTTTTTGTTGGGCAAAATTTATTTAACAAAATATTTCTAATACTATTTTATTTTGGCATTACAGGTAAGCACATTAGACTGGGCACAAGCTGAAAAAATCTATAACCTCTGTGAGGTTCTATTTAAAGTTCACAAGGTAGGTCTAATGTAAGTTATAGATGACATCTCTCTAGCATTTGTCCAACATTAAAATTGAATTAAAGATGCATTCTGATAATGTTGATCAGAAGCTAGCTGGCAGAAATTTTATCAATACTATAAAACTAGTTCTTGACAATGAACTACCGTGATTATCTACATTGAAGCTCTTGACACTTTCTGGACCAGTTAAGACGATTCTTATCTCCATTCCATTTCCTTTATACAATGACAGAGTCTCATGCCCCTTCCAGTGCCACCCACCTGGTTTATTTGTCTGTACCTCAGTGTTAGATTGCATGCTTTGAATACATAAGATGCAGATTTTGTTCTGGCATTTTCTGTGAGAAAGCTCTTGGGCATGGGTCCTCAAACTACCGTCTGTGGGCCGAGTCCGGCCCGCCATGCCCATTTATCCGGCCCAGTTCAGAGATTTTGGACTCGCCGTGCGTGCGCATGTACAGGTGCGCAGTGAGGTGACAGGTTGCTCGCGCAGAAATGCTTTTGGACTCTCTCAGAAAATGATTTCTGCACAAGAAAGCTGGCGCCATGTCGTGTGCATGCCCAGCTGCGGCTTGCTCGCACAGAGATTGTTTTGGACTCGCTGGGAGAAAACGATCTCCACGCGAGCAAGCCGCTGCCTCACTCCACGTGTCCCCCACTCCCGCTTTACCACGTGCACCCTCACCAGCCCGTGTTCCCCGCCAGCACCGCCTTGGTGGCCCGCGCCCACTGCCAGCACCTTTCAACTGACCCCCTGTTGAAAAAGTTTGAGAACTCCTGATCTTGGGTATCAGGGCTTATGGTAACCTGGAGGGTGAATGCCAGTCAGAGTAAACACTACAAAATAAATACTAACAATAGACTACTGTCACTACAACAACTGAATACAATATTCATGTATAAAATTCAATGTATGATTAGTTCAAGTGATACACAGACAAAATCCTCAAATTAACCATCCTATGACCTGGGGTTTCCATGCTTTGAATTTTGTGAAAGCTTTAGATTCAAAATGCACATTAAAGGTGTAGCTAACAGTATGACTTTCTCCTTTTATACTATAGAGTAAGTGCTGAGGGCTAATCTAGATTAGGACCCTAGCATGGGGGCAATGTAATTTTAACCCACCCTCCTACCAGTGTGGTCCCAAGTCTGGACTAGGGGACTCAGATCTGCAACTTATATTGCTTACAGGTATTGGTAACTCATCTGCCCAACTTGTTTAAATATTATGAAATGCCTTCCAGTGGAGTTTGCTGAAGAAGTTGCCCATTTTTCAAAGTATTTCTCAAGGTTTCTTATTTCCTTGATATTTCTGCAAGGTTAATTTCAAGAACAAGCCAAATTAAAACTAAATGCTGTCACTGAATTGGGGCAGGGGGGAGTTTGTTGGTGAGTGGGTGAGAACTGGAAATAAACTGCCCAAGATTCAAGCCTTTATGTTCTTGACATTTTAATAAATGAACTCTTAATTGTCAGTCTGGATGAATACATTAACTGAAACACAAAAGCATCAGTGTATGGCTAGCCTCTGTTCTGTTGACACTTTCAGTATAAATGGTAATGAAGAAAACTTAGAGCAAATTAATTAAGTTGGACTAAACTTAATTTTCAAAATAGATTAAAGCTCCACTATTGGAAATTCGAAGGCTCCAATACCTTTGCAGAAAATGTTCCTCTGAACTCTTTGTACAGGTTGGTTTCTACTAGACGACTTGTCATCTCTTCACTTAGGAATTATTTTTCCATGTTTAATGGATGCATTGTGATTTATTGTCTCAGTCCACTTTTGTGTGGGACAACATGTGTTTCCTACCCAACCTAACTCATGACAATTCATTCCAAGAAAGTCTCTCCAGAGAGGCTTACTTAGCACCTACATTGTGGTCTCTTTGGAACCAGGTAAATACTTTTTATTTTCCCAAGCTTTTTAGCCCTTTTGTTTTTGTTTTAACTGTGTTCCAGCATTTTTAGATCTTTATGCACCTGCTGTTTTTCTTCTGGGTTTCTACTTTGGTTTATTCTGTTTTTAACTTGCAATTTTATATTATACTTGATAAATTATTGCATTTTATGATTTTAAACTTTATCTTGTAAACTGCCCAGAGATCTTCTGTTATTGGCTGGTATAGAAATAAAGTTAAGAACTGATAAATAAAAATAACAAAGATTTACACTAGTCAAGCTGCAACACTAAACATACAGAGTACAATCCTATGTGGCTGCCTGTTAATTGGGAAGGTGGAGGAGTACAGAGGTATGGATTGCCTAAATGCTTTTCCCCAGAGGGAGGGCTGAGGCACTGGCTGGATTTTGTGAAAGATGGCCAGTTCACAACATTTTAAGTCACCCATCTAGATTCCAAGCAGGTCTAACCCTGCTTAGTTTCCAGGATTAGGTGGGATCAGGCACTTCAGGCTATATGGAATCATATTGTTATGATTTGTTCTTGAAATCTTTATCAATAAGCATCATAACAAACATCAGGAAATATAACCAGTCTTTTCTCCACTTTTTTATTCCCACTCATTATTTTTCATAATCTTCCCATTTTTCATAATTCTTGAGGCCAAGTCCTTTAAATAGGGAACATATGCTTCATGAATATAGATTTATTCATGTATTCTGTTTTTTCTTTTTCTTGCCCATAAAGGCTCCAGTGGCAGCTAGCAATAAATGAAAACAAATATAAAATCCAATATAAACTGTTATGACATTAAAACAATAAAAATAAAACCAAGCAGACCAACCCAGTAAACAGAAACATCAGTAGACTCAGCCCTGTGCCCCTCAAAACAGAAAAGTATTGTGGTCTTTCTGAATAAACTCAGTGACTAGCCAGCTGGACCTCTGCAACTTATCTGTTTAGGACATTCTGCACACATACAGAAGCAAGTCTCTGTGTGCTCATCCCATTCTTTAAGTCAGCAAATGGACCCAAATGTATTCTTTTACAGCGAGCTTGAAACTTGTTTATTGGCTGTGAGAGAGAGAGAGAGAGAGAGAGAATAGAAACTAGAATTCAGAAAAGAAAAACAGTCCTTTTCACTGCCACAGATCTTATGTCCAGAAGTCTGGCACTTGGAGAAGTTGTGGAACTGCTCCTTGATGTATCTTGGACCCAGGGGTTTAAAAGTTAAAAACATTGTTCTGCATTCAGTTTAGAAACTGCCACAACCAGTGCTAGGTTCTGAACACAGGGATACTCTCATCAATAGCAACAAAAAGACACCACACATACAGCAGGTGGTACAGTGCAGTCTTTTGCCTACTATGCTAAATGAACATTTAGGAAACAAACTTAAAATATCTATCCACTGTCTTGGCGTTACTAGCACTGCGTTAAAACAAAGTACTGTTTCTCAGTGCCAATTTACATATCAATCCACAGTAGATTCTGCCACTCCTCACCTATGAAATTTCAGTGTAATAATCATGCAATGAATTATGTTGTACTACTCTCTCTCATGAGTATGTACCTGTGTGCCAACATAGTGCCTTTTTTACAGAACGACGCAAAGGTGATATCTTTCATTGCTAAGAAACCAAGAATTAATCACAATGCATATTCATAAGACTATAAATGGACTAGCTTTATGTATTTATTTAAGGGACTGCTATTATGCACAATCCAGTGGGGTACTTACATCCCCTGAAGTTCTTTTATGCCCTGCTGGTTCCCTTGTGCAAGTAGGATCCATCACTTATGTAACCAGTATTTAGTATTCTCTAGGGGAAGTCCTGAAACAAGCAGAAAAGCCTCCATCCAGAAATGAGCATTTCCATTTATATTGGGTTGCCTTGGGAGTGCACTATTGCACAAGCAGTGAGGAGGCCAGTTGTGTAATGGAATTGGATGGACAACACATACACACACAGATTAATCTTTTGCTTGTTCCATACTAAGGAAAATGCTTCTTAGGTTTTTAAAAATTTCATATCCTGAGTTTTGTTTTATTTATTTTTGTCTGGGATTTTTTAAAAAAAGCTTTACAATCAGGACATAGCTAAGCAATATTTTCTGTTGTGTGATTCCACTGACTTTAATAGTTTTTTTTTTCCATCATGGTAATTTTTCCTAACTCTATTGCTTCACAGGGATGCCATTATGAAGGTATTTAAGCAAAGCAATCTGGAAAGAATAAACATAATATTATATGCTCATAATTAAAAATGTTGCTTGTTTACTTTGCATATACTGATGGGCAAAAGTTCTAAATAGTACACCTTTTATTAAAATATTTAGCATGACAAAACTGTTGACTCCATGCATCAGTGTCTTACCTACCATTACCCTAATCCATCAGAAACACACACACATGAGCTTCCTCATTCACTGGAAAGGAGAAGGAGAGTTTCAGTATGTGGCTGTACTTCTGCTCATTTTGAAGTTATTGTTTTGTTTATTAGCAATATTTATATACGATTTGTTGTTTATAACAAATCTCAAACTGCTTTTTACAAGCTGACATGCATATGCTGTTTTAAGCTTTTGGAGGAATGTTTTAAATTGGGGATAGGCATCATGTTCACCCCAGTGGCCTCACTCCCTGAACAGTAATCTGCCCCTGCAGAACACACACTGCCACCCATTCACAGACGTGCTCACTGATGGATTTAACACTTTCTTCCCACTGCAGTCTACATGAATATGTCTCCGTCATCATCTTCATCATCATTATCATCAGCAGCACCATATAGGATTTATCTCTCAAGGACACTTGCATAGTTCCATGTTTTCCTCACAACAACCCTAAGAGGTAGGTTAGGCTGAGAGACTAACCCAAAGTCAGCCAGTGAGCTTCTTCGACAAATGGGGGCTAGAATGCAGATCTCCCAGGTCCTGAGTCCATCACTGTAACCTCCACACTGCACTGACCTTTTCCTAAGCATGACGGCAACATCAGGGAAGGGAAGAATCTTTGTAAGGATTGTTAAGGGACAAAGGGTTAAAACGCACTGCTCCCCACCATCCCTCAGCACCACTCAGATAATCAAAGCAATGGTTTTTGCCTGCAAGGACAGGGAGAGGTTGCTCACTTGCTGCCTGTTCAGGAAGAGCTCCAACAGAATCCTCTGGAGGTCGACAGGCTAGATGCCACCTTTGGCCTATATGTTATCCACTCCTCCTTTAAATAAATAAGATTTGCTCTATGGGTACACTGGAGCTCTCACATCAACCACAAATTGCTGTATCAGGCAATTTGTTTAGTAAGAATTTCAACACAGGAGTCTATAATCAACAGTACATGTAAAGAAGGTACATGTAAAGAAGGTAAACTGGAATACCCAGGAAAAATAAATGCATTTGTGTAGCATTTTGGTCTTGGCAATTGATACTCAATGCCTTAACCTAGCTTTTACTCTCAAGTATACATGCTCATTATTGTGTCTGACAGAAAATATTAAAAAAATGCTGAGTCAACAGTGCATTGCTCTGCTCCTCCCCACACACCCCACTCCATACTTACAGTACAATTTTATAGCAGTGGGAGTTGACCGTTTACAATCATAAGCATGGACCAGGAACTTGCTTTTACCCTGCAGCACTTCAGTGTACTGTGTGGCTTCCTTGATGTCAGTGGAAGCCAAAAAATCAGCAAGATCAAAAAGGATCTGTCATTTAGCAGATAGTTTGGAGGAAGAGGAGGAGAGGGAGAAACAAGATGTGCTTATATTCATCCTAGCATGTGCAATCAGTTTATGTTGAACCACAAAAACTTGGAAAATCCTTCTACATTGTCATAAGATGGAAGGAAGTGCAATGCTTAAATTTAAAGACAAGCCATTACAAAGGGATGTAAGCTGACCCAGAGGAGCTAACCAAAAGTGATGGTGGAATACTGTTTTCTCTAATGAGATCTAATGAGGGACAGGTGTACCCTCTCATTGGTGCCCTCACCAATGAGATTTTCAGTGTTTTAACATTTCCAATTACCTGCTGAGAGACAGAGTTGTATACAAGGGTTCTTCAAAAAGTTTCCACACTTTTTAAAACTCTATTAAGAATTTCAAAAACAAATTACATCACTTTTCTACATAGTCGCCTTCCTTTGTGAAGCATTTTTCCCAGCATCATACCAACATTTTAATCCTATCGGCAAAAAATGTACATTTATAAAATAAAAAAGTGTGGAAACTTTTTGAAGAACCCTAATATTTTCTACATATTTGGATTCTGCACTCAGATGATTGATAATGCAAAAAGCAAACACTGCTGACAATCTGTTAGGAGGTACATACATAGAAAGATACTTACTGAACTGCACCTGCATTCAGTAAAGCAGGACATAAATTTTAAAAAGAATGAGGAAAGTACACAAGATTTTCAGTGGTTTTGCTAATCAGAATTAATAAGATGCTAACATCGTTAATATTTTTTACATATCCTTCAAAGTCTCAGAAAGGTTGTGACAGGAAAATTTATTCAATCAATTGGTCAATCCATTGACCAAAAGGCAACAAACTAAAAATTAGAATAACAAGAACTAAGAGCAAGAATATGTATTATCCATTTCTGATTAAATGTCATCTGTAAATATATGTCTTTCAGCTGTGGCTTAATGATGATTGCTGGCTGCAAGCAAACTTATATTTAGGCATTCACCAAGACTATGAGCTTGAAGACCAGAGACCATATTGTTTCAGTGTTGTAGTTGGACATGGCAAGAGTCATTATTTCAACGTGGAATTGGGGAGTGAACTGGCAGTGTGGGAGAAATCCTTTCAAAGAGCAATTTTTTTGGAAGTTCAAAGAACAGGGGTAAGTAAAATAACATGTACGTAGCATGAAAATTTTACCATTTCTATAGGAATTTCTTACACCATTTCAGTTTTATAATGCGCTTTAATTCTATATTAAAATGTATATCCACTTTAAAAAACTACCTAGGCCAAGGATGAACTGTGTGAAATAAATTGATATTGCATGACTGTTCAAGTTCCAAAAAGTCCAAACCACTGCTGCTCTTACACTAATATGTATTTCATACCGTAAATAAATACATAATATAGAGTGGTATCTTCTACTGACTGAAGGCAAACATTAGTGGAATGGGGAGGGGTGTTTTTCAGTTGTTCCCTCTTCCAGGCTTTGTACCATCTCCTATACTGTACTAAATAGTCCTCTAGCACTCTGCAGCTACTTTTGGGTGCTTCAGCAGAAGGGGAAATTCTAAACCCTAAAATCAACCCCATCTTGCTATTGGATGCCTTCCATTAGTGACAACACCTGAGTCCCCACTTCAGTCTTATCTCCTATCTGTCTGATTAACCTGTTTGACCTCTGGCCTTATGTTAATGGTGAATCATGAATCACATTCAGCCATTATAACCAGTTATCAGAGCTGGAGCAGACTATATTAAGAATGACTCCACAAATCAAACTGAAACTTGTCACAGCACAGAAGAGCTCAGTTTATGCTAATAGAGTTAGGGAAGTTAAGAGAGCCAGTGTGCTGTTGCGGTTAAGAGCGTGGGATCTAGTTCAAGCAATCTGGGTTCTAGAGCCCACTCAGCCATGTAGCCCACTGGGTGACTTTGGGCCAGTCACTGACTCTCAGTCCAGCCTTCCTCGCAAGGTGGTTGTTGTGTGAATCAGATGGAGAGTAGGAGCAAAATAATGAAAAACACCTTCAGTTCAGAAAGGGGGGGGAGGGATATAACTCTAATAAATAAGAAATGACTTGTTGTAGAAGTTTAACATTGCTGAATGACATTCAGTTATCAACTGTATTCTTTCTCATAAATGTTGCTAAGGTTAAACATTATTGACAGATTTCTCCATTTATTCCATGTCTTTCAGGGTGTGTTTTGCTGTTATAGGTCAGGAAGAGGGTCTAGTAATGGCAATTTATTAGGTATTTTCCCAGGCATGTACAGAATGATCCTGCAGGCAAGAATGATTTTGAAGGGGATGAGTGTGGCTGGTTACCAGGGAGATAGGCAGGAGAGGAGAAAGGGAAGAAGGGTTATGATTGTCATTATGATAGTTCATGTTTGGAAGTTGGGGGAGAGGGGACGTGTGAGGCAGGATTCTAAATCTAAATTCTACTTTAAACACACTAGTCTGTTTAAAAATAAAGTCTATACTAGTAATCATTACCACAATTTATTTTCTCTCTGCCTATACGTGTGTGTATATTATAGGGCTGTCTTTGACTGCTTCTAAGAGTACTTTCTTTCTTCAGTTGACTTTGTTTTTGCCTCAAAACTCCTAGGCCTCAATGTTGCTGTTTGGCTTTTACTAACCTTCCAGCCTTCTGTTTCTAATGGGAAGGGGCTTATAAATCGCAAGTCAGAGGCAGATGGCTCAGGACTTTGGTTTCAGGTGCACGGTAGGCAAAAATTTCATAGGTCAACTTTACCTAGTATATGAAGGTGGATACAGCTGCTGTGGTATTCAACCTGTATGTCAACTTAAGGGCCACTGGAAGGGAGATAGAGGCATGGCTTTATTTAATATCTTCAGTTAATAGTTGCACATTTACAAGTAGCACTTGAACAGCAGGCACACAGACCAAATTATCACAGCCTTACCCACTATGGTGAGTTGTTTTGTATTTCTATTTGAATGATAGTCATTCTTTCTAAATTTGTACTTATACATTTGTTCATGCAAATTTTATGCAAATCTCTGGCCTCATTTTTGGAAATGTGCAAGTGGCCATATTGCTATATCATAATTCTATATGGTTGGTAGGATTACCAGTTGGATACTCTAACATTGGTGATATTTCATGGATTTCATGTGTCTCTTCCAATGAACAAACAAATCTGGGATCAAGGTCCACCACTGATAAGCATCCAGCTCTAAATTGTTGAAGTTGCAATTAGGCACAGCATGAAATGCTATAACATATCAATATTACCTAAATAATGAGTCTGTTAAGATCATGGCCCTTAACAGCTGTAATTTTTCAGCAGTTTAGACCTTTAGTGAACATGAAAAGCCTTTAACAACACATGTTAAACAATAAAAAAAAAAGATTGTTAAATAAGTAATTTTTAAAGTAATGTTAAGTCAAGCACAATCTCGCATTATCAAACCCAATACACACAGTTTTCTACAAAGAACAAAACTCAGTCATTAAGTTATATAAGCTCATTGTGATTATTTCAATGACTTTCAATGGATCAACATTAAAATGTGCTATACTAATAGTACAGTCCTTCCAGTCTGGCATTTATAGCTGGAAGTTGAAATGTATTTCTTACAAAGTACTGCATACTTATACAGAGCAAAGACTGAGGTAGCAAAGTTCTATCCATAACCATCTTGACTAATGTACTTTTCCTGTAACTTCACTGGCACAAATAGCTCCTGCCTGCAGGTCTATTTCAAAGTGCTGCTCATTTTCACGACTTGTACTAATCATGTTCTTTTAACTGCCTACCCCATTTGGAGCACATCAGATGCTAAATTATATGCCCCTGCTGATGTTTTCCACTGTTGCATGTTATTACACTATCACCTAGTGGTACCACAAACTGTAAAGCAGCTTCTGTAAAATATAGCAGCTATATTTTATACATATTCATGAAACATCAATATAGATTATAACAAAGAATTGCTGTGACTAATTTTATCAGTTCTCAACAGGTAGACACAACTGAGTATTATTGAAGGATTGCACATAACTTGCTGATCCACGTAACTGTCAAATCCAGTTCTCCACCTGCAGAAGGGGGCAGATGGGGGCCGACTTTCCCATCCCTCCTCTTCCTGCCAGTCCCCTGGACCTCAAGGAAGCACTTCTTCATAGAACCTTGCTGAGTTCACTACTCTCTGGCAAGGGAAACTGATGGATGGTGGGGGAGAGAGCAGAAAATTTGCTTAGGGCACCTTCTGCTACATTAACTCGGGATTGAATTCTAACATCATACATAACCATGGATCATTTAGTTAAGTTACATTTTGTTCTAATAGCTTGTTTTTGGCATGACACTAAACCAAATGCTTGAATATGAGTGAGTTGTAGATTCATATGTTCCCTTCCCTTTTCTTGTATGACTACAAGGAGAGTGGGAGGATCCATTTCCTGTTTAATACTAACACTGACTGTGGTTTGATCATTAGTTGTTAAAATGAGCCAGTTTAAACTAAAAACTATTTGCCCTTCTCAGATGTAATAAACCACAGCTAGTGTTAAAGAGGAAGCAACTTCCAGACTCCTTGCAGCAGATTTCTGAAGAAGTCCTTATTAATGTAACATTAAACAATGGTTATGTTCAAAATGGGACAGTTCTGGACCTAAGCCTGCTTCTAAGCCATACTTTCTAACACTGAGAAGAGATTTCTGTCCATATTACTGAAGGCTTAACTAAGTTTGTGCCCTCTAGATCTTTAAGACTTCACAATGATCATGAAAGCCTGCTCAAAACATCTGAGGGGGCACAAGATGGGGAAGCCTTTACTACTGTAAACATGCTATATTGAATACGTTTATAGCTAGCCTTTATCAACCAATGCATATTGATAAGATAAAAACTCTTAACTCAGACTACATAATACTAGGATATGTGTATATCTTTTTATATTGATACTATATCTAAATATAAGCCATATAAAAAGTGATAAGGAATAGCAAGAATAGATAGAAGGAATAGATTTCAGGTTCTATCACTTTTCTTCTTTTTATTGCATTATATAAGGTTTAGTCTCATTTATTTGGTCTCATTTATGACTATAAAGGGGTCGTCTATGAAATTAAAATGACTGATACAAATTAAAATGTTTAGCTAGACCAGAGTATGATGGAAACAAGACTCTCTATAACCTGCAACTATTAGACATTGAACCTTATTCCATCGGATTCATTTGTTAAATCACTGAAAAAGGCACAGTAGTCAGGAGACCGGGATTGATGAATTGAATTTCAGGCCTAGAACTGTAAGGTTTGAAAGGACTGGAGATCATAAATACTGAAGTAAAGATAGAAACATGTCAAATTATTGTGGCAGAGAGTACTGTTGCCAGTGTTATTAATCATGTTTTTCTGGCCTCCTTGTCAGTCTGTTCAGAGCATACCAATGCTTTGCTGAGTGCGATTGAAATCCAGTCTGACACACATTCTTCATCCATTGTAGGCTAGCCAGATGCCCATTTGAACCTTGCAAGTCAGGTATGGTAGAATCAACCATCCCTTTGATTTTGGTGATTATCATTAACGGAATGCTGATTCCATATATGAAGAGTCCATACTTACCCATCATGGTATAATCATCAGTTGATATGATTTGTCTATCAATTTGTATTTAAGCCATTTCTATTAACAGCCTTCACCATATCATATAGCAGTGAATTCTCTATCTAGTGACAATGTGTTACACCCTTGTTAAATTAGTTCAGTAGCAGATAGATCCAATCACAACCCCATAACTGCTGGTGTATAGCAAATTTTGCATTGATGGCATTAACTAAAATAGTGTTGTACTTATAGAGGGGGGAGGGAGAAAGAGATTCAATCATCTCCTTGAGAAAACACAAGAAAATAAAAACCTGCTTTAATGGGCTCTATAAATTCAAGTAAGATATTAATAGCAGTTAAATTAGGCTAGATTTATGGGGTCATTAAAAGATAATTATCTGTTGGTTACCAGAAGAACAAGTTTAATTACACAATTAAGGTTTAGATTGTTTTCATTATGCATAGAAACATATTACACTTTCAGTTTTCTTTGTCTTTTTTATTTCACTAAGTCCAGTTCACCTCAAATTTAATTTTAGAAACCCACAGTCTTAAGATAGTTCTGTCTGTCTGC